AACGCGGAACCTAGAATCGAACCTATCCATCGATTCCGAACTCGTTTCCATCGATCCCGGCACAAAACCCACCAATACAACATGAAATCCAACCACAAACAACAGCCAATCGCATCCTATCAATTTCTTTACCCAGATAAGCCATGGTCACGTACTCACCTCGAATCTGGAAGGAAAAAGGATGAAAAGTCACGAAGAACGCGAAGAACACGGATCTCCAATCTGAATCTTCTCCAATCGCGAATCCAACCCACCATAAACGATCTCCAGATCCTCACAACCACACACCAGAGCTTTTAGGATCAAGAACTCGAAGAAATCAACAATGATTCTTCGTTTTCTCCCAAATCCTCTCTCAACTCACTGGAACTTCCTTGAAACTTTCTGGAACAGAAAAGAAACCAGAAACGCAGCCCTCATCCTTTTTATATTGAAGCCCTAGGGCTTCCCTAAACCGAACGCTCGAACCGAGCAATTGAAACCAAACCTGTCGGTCCAATTTCAGCATGCGTCGATCGACGCATAGCACCTGCGTCAATCGACGCAAAACCCAGAACCCGACTTCTCACAAGTCCAAACACGTGTGTCGATCGACGCACACACCCTGTGTCGATCGACGCACCACCAAAAATCCACTTTTTGGTTCACGGGTGTTACAGTAGGTGTCTATTTTAGTTCTTTTTTTTAAACGCTTCTGATTGACGAATAACATATGAAGTGCCTATTTTATGCCAGAGGAGAGGATATATTATTCAAGATCAATCAACTACAACTCTTTGAATCAATCAAAGATCAATATGGGGTTTTTCATCCTTCAAAGCTTTGAAAAACTGGGTTTCGCGTCTTCGACCAAAGATTTTACGGCGTCAATTCGTTTCTTGAACAACATATTTTTAGGAATTTTTTGTTTACCAACTTTTACCCTTAATAATTTTAATAAGGGCAATTTTGTCTATTTCTTTTAACTCAATTAATCCTACTTACCTAAATTTCATTAACAACATGTTAGTTCCTTAATTTCATCATCCAAACATAATATTCAACTAATTAACTATATATATATTATCGGGTATAATATGATATACGTCAAACACATACGCGAAATGAACCAATTTATTTACGATATTGGTAGTAGAATTTGATTATGAAGTTGCTTGCATCTACTCTATTGTCTAAACAAAATTGCATCTTTTGAAAAAAAACAAATTACCCCGTAACCAAACTAAAATGTTCCGCCTAGAATATAAGGATTATACTCCGTAACCATTCTCTTTAACAAAAAAAACCATTAACCATTTTTGGATTAAATTTAAGGAGTTCCAGATCGCCACTCTTACATTTTGTTTTGGGATGTGGTTTCGCCAAAAACTCCTCCAAAATAAATCCAAACTAGGAGAGTCATAGATACACGACCTTTGGAAGAACCAAAATTCATAGCTACTATTTCTC